CCTCTTCCAGTGCTGCACTGCTTTCTAATGAAGAATATTTTCCTAATGACCAATTTGAACCTTCCGAGGGGCCATTTTGGGCCATGGTCCCTTCTATATCATCTGCCACTGCTGGGAAGAGTTTGATTACATCATCTTTATAGCTCCATGTCGTTGCAGGCTCCCAGCAGATCCTCCTTAGGCTCCTCTTCATCAAAATAAACAAGCCCAGCTCCTTCAGCCTGTCCTCTGGGCCTGTAACCATAATAGTAGCCCTGCACTGGACCCTCTCCAGTTTCTCAACATCCTTCTTGAACTGGAGGCCCAAAATATTATTCAAGGTGAGGGCTCACAAGCACTGAGTAGAGGGGGGTAATGACTTTCCTTGATCTGCTGACCACACTCCCCCTAATGTAGCCCAGTGCACTGTTTACATTATTCGTGATAAGAGAACTTTATTACTTTATAAACAACTCAGCAGCCACTGTAACCTCCAGATCCTTTTCAGCAGTCCTGAAACATAGCAAGTTCCTTCCCCATCTGCGCTGGTGCATTGGGTTTTTTCTCCTCAAGTGCAAAATTTTTCACTTACTGAAGTTTCTAAAATAGAAACCTCAAAAAGGATTCTTTTGCCTGGGCTTCCAGTGTCTTATGGTGTTTCTGAGTTGAAGTTCTACCAATCAGCATGGGAGCCACACCTCCTGGTCTTGCATCATCTGAAAATCTACTGAGCATACATTCTGTCTTCTCATATGGGCTGTTGATGAAGATACTGAACAGTATCTTCATAGCAGGCCATTTGTTGCTGCGCTCATTTCCAACCACCAACTGGACATCAAGCCATGCACTCTAGTCTTTGAGCTTGGGGTCTGACCGATTTTCAGCCCACCAACAATCCTTTCATTCAGTCCATACTTTCTCATATTACAAATGATGATGCTTTTGGAAATAAGTGTCAAAAGCCTAACTAAAGTAAAAATACATCGCATTCACTCCTCTCCCTTCATCTGCATGGCTGGTCATTTCATCATAGTGGGCAACCAGATTGGTCAAGCGTGATTTGCTCTTGCTAAATCCTTATTGACTTTTCTTGATTATTGTCTTGTCCTTTACATGTTGGAAATTGATTCCAAGAGGACATGCTCCACGATTTTTCCAAGGACTAAGGTGAGGCCAATTATCATATAGTTTCTTAGAACCTCCTTCTCACTTTTCTTTAATATGAATGTAAAATTAACCTTTCTCCAGTCATCAAGGATATCCTGTAATAGCAGTGATTTTTCATGGATGATAGCTAGTGGTGTTGCAATCATATCATCAGCTCTTTCAGCAGCCGTGGGTGTATCCCATGTGACCCCATGTGTTTGAACACATACTGTTTCTTCAGGTATTCACCAACATGTTGCCCTCCAACTCTTAGCCATCCTTCTCCTTCCCAAACTGTACATGCAGAAGTCTGGGAGCAGACTTTGCCTAAAAAGCAAGAGGCAGAAATGGTATTGAGTGCTGTGGCTTTTTCTGTATTATCTATCATTATCTTATCTCCCTTAATAAGCAATAGACCTACATTTTTCTTTGAACTTCCTTTTGCTGCTTTCATACTTGTAAAATTCCTTCTTGTTACCCTTTAATGTTCCCCATTAATTTTAGCTCCAGATGGGTTTTGTCCTTCCTAGTTTTGTTCCTGTGTCCAAACAATGATTATGTGCCTGTCCTTTGTTTCCTGTCATCATTTCCATATATGTTTATACATATATGTATATCCATATGTGCTTTTCCCATTTTAGTTCATTAAGAAGCTCCTTACTCAGTCAAGTGAACCTTCTGCATACCTTCTCCATATGTGCTGCTTCCTCATGTATTTCTGGGTTGGGTCCCTGTTCTATGACAGAGGAAGTCCTCCCCACTAGATTAGCAAGTCTGTTCACAAAGATGCTCTTCCCTCTCTTTGCCAGGTAGACTATTCTCTAACTTGTCTTTCATCATCAAATTGGGTGCCACAAGCAAAATAGTTGAGGCACAGCTAGTGCCACCAAATATGTAGCCATATGTGGTCTACTGGATACATCTGCTGCTATCCAGGCTTTTCCCTTTTGCCATAGGATTAAAGAGAAACACCACCAGGATTCCTGTCGCCTTCACCCTTGCTCAGGAGCAGAAGAACATTAGGTGACCCCAAACAGTATTTTGGCAACACCACGAATTGAGGCTCCATGCAAGCAAGAAACCTCCCTAGCTGATGAGTCTGGCTGGAAGAGAGTCACCAACCACTCACTGTCACTCATTACTTTCTCTTGGTAGTGCTCTGATATGGTGTCCAACCTGGATTCTTTCTCTGAGGGAGCTTGTTCTTCCCCTCTGCTGCCTGGGCCCTGCACCACTGGCTGCTGCAAGAAGTCACAAGCTTCCAGTTTTTACCGTCTTGGGAGTGCATGTCCTCTTCCCACTGCATCTTGCCTCGGTTGCACCTTCCCTGTCTGTCACATAAGCTTTTACACCTTGAAAGATCCTGTCAATCACCTGTTTGTCACCCCTGATGCAATAAAACACACTTGCCTCTTCTTGCAGCTCCTCACCTGCTGCTGCGGCAACTACAACAACGCAAACCTTCCTCCAGGGAAATCACCGTCAGGGGTCCATCTGCACAGACGTTGCAACAGCACTGCCGGTGACAGCAGGGGCAGGGGTTATGTCTTGTAGCAAGTCATCACCATTTGGGTGTTGTCTTCTTATGCAAACAGCATATCTGCGTCTCTCGTGTGTCAAATGTCAAGTTAACTGTCTTGCTTATTTGCACATCCCGCTGGCAGCGCTCCTTGGTGCCCTTCCTGAGGGTACCAGGTAAGTCAGGAACTCCAAGTGCGTTCACTCAGCCTTGTGCAAGATTTCCCACTTGGCAGGAAAGCTCTTACACTGTGAGTTCCCAGCCACAGTACGCTCCTTTGTGAGTGCTGGGTCTGCCGAACGTTTCTGCTCCCCATGCTGGATCCTAACAAGCTGAAAGAACGGTGGCTGTAGTTTACTCAGCACCGGTCTCACTTGCCAAATGAAGAGATACCATTGTACAGTTGAAAAGGTTAGTTTCAGAATCTGCTCAAGTACATAGAACTGTCTAAAAGCATTTTAAGATCATTTTACTGCAGTTCTCATCCATGAATAAGAAAAAATAGCCTGGGAATCATGGAAATATTTATTACCAAAAGTTAAATATTTTTATTCACTTGTAGGAGATAAACAGAGTTTCAATTACTGGCTAATGATTTTAGAATTTGATTATGGTATTTTATCGTAAAATACTCAAATACTGTCGCCTTTCCCTATCTTACAGCTGCACTTGCGGTGCAATGGCAATTTAAAATTTATGGTAGATTATTTCTTGCAGTCGCTAGGTGTACGTACTAGGAAAAGGTCTTCTGCAGGGACATTGTTTGAATAGAAATATCAATGCAGATACGCTTGCATAGGCTGTGACAGAACTGCAGACTTCGAATGAGGTTACTCTTTCAGCAACTATAAATTGGCAATATAAAATCAATCCCTTTGAGGCTTAAGTGGTCAAAGTACAAGGTTTAGTAAAATAAGGTGAGAGTATATTACTATAAGGGAATAGCAAAGAAAAAATATTTAATGTCTGTAGATTGTAAGTGTGAGGAAAAGGTGAGGAGGG